GGGGGGGGTGTCACCCTTCTCTGGCTCATGAGACCCCAGCGAATGGTTACAAGTGAGTGGGGTGCTATCCCAAAGGGTGCAGAGTTCCCAAGGAACATAGCAGGGAGGAGACGAGAGATGACCCGACAGACCAGGCTAGTCAAGGCAGGGTGGTCACGGGGGCTAGGGTTTGGGAGGAGGGACCTGTAAGCCAAAGAGAAAATCCAGAGGGGTTCCTGGCCATTCCGACATAGGAGGGTGGGGGTCCCCATACTACCCCCAACATTTGCTGTGTGGGGCAGCTGCTTTTTGGTCTAAAACCAACAGCCTTCTCTTCCTTCCTCCTGAACATCTGCATTGCTCTGGGCCTGTCCTCGACCTCGGGGCAGAGAGCCACATTTTGAAGGTGGGGTGGGGAGGGGACAGGGGTCACATGTGTCCACCTGTCAGTCTTCCTGTCTGTCCGCAGAACGACGAGAACGCCATGGTGGAAGCGGTGGCCCTGTACAACCCTGTGAGCTTTGCCTTCGAGGTGACCAGTGACTTTATGCTGTACAGGAAGGGCATCTACTCCAGGTGAGACCCTTCCTCCACGCCCGCCCCGTGCTGGCACCGTATTCAGTCCCCACCATCCCCCCGCACCGTGCTGACGCAGAGAGCAGGGAGGTCAGGCCAGGCCAGGCGCAGGGACAGAATTTGACCTTTTGTCTCTCTGAGGGAAGATCCAGGCTCAATATTCTAAAGCTGTGAAACAGGGAAGAGAGAGTAGCTGCTCCGACGGAGCCCTGAGCTAGCAGCTCACAGCGGGCCTCTGCAGACAGAACCTCCCCGAGCTCCTGAGCCCGTCGGACACGCTTCGGCTCCCCCAGCCCCTTCCCGCAGCTGCCCAGCCACCTCCGTCACCCTCTCATTCTCCGGCTGCTCCCAAAATGCTGGCTTGTCCACCAGGGCTTTGACCTCAGCCCTCTCCCCTCCCCACCGCCACAGCCCGCTGTTTGCTGGGAACTTCCACGTGGGGTCCGACCATGCCGGGCAGCAGACCCACCTGCCGTTTCCCACTGGATGGCNGCTTTGGTTTTGTAAATGTTAGGACTATGTGGGGGAGGCCTGAAGTCTGGGCCTGGAGCTGGGTGGCCCTCACCTGTGCTCCATGCCCTTTGCCACCCTGAACAGGATGGCCACTGCAAGTTCCAGCCCGAGAAGGCCATTGCTTTCGTCAAGGACGTGGCCAACATCACCCTCGTGAGTACCGGCCCCTCCCTCTCCCACTCAGAGGCAGGCAGCCGTTCCCTGCAGCAGGTCACTTGATTAATGGTGACTCAGTCCCCTGAAGGAAGGATCACTGGTGGGACTGGGGAACAGACAGCCACTCTGATCTGGGTCTGCACAGGTCTTCCCGCTCATTTCCTGTTTTCTTGTAAAGAATTAAACAAGGGTGTGAGCATGTGTGATGTCACCGGGTGTGACCTCACTGAGCAGAATACACCAGTTAGGAGGAGCTGGGTTACAATGCGGTAACTGTGCCACAGACCTGAATGGCTGAACGCTAAGTTCCAGTGTCTCCTGTAGGACCGGTCCCTCGATAGAGGCAGGGCTATGCCAGGAGCCAGGCAGAGGAGGGCAAGAGGGGTCAATCGTGACTGTCAAGTCTCACAGTCAGGCCTAACCCCAAGTGGGTGGGGAAGTACAGACTTCCCGTTTCTCCAGGAGAGCTGCAGTAGGTGGGAGCGGCCCTGGTGACCCCGGGGTGTGTGAGGATGTGTGTAAAGGCAAAGAGCGTCTCCAGCGGTGTGGCATGCAGGTGTGATGTGTGTACTCGGGAGCCTGAGGCCGGCTACATGCATGTCCACAGATGTGTGCAGCTCCTATCTGTGCAGTAGCAGTGGCCACCACATGGATGGAGTCCATGCAGAGCGCGTACTCAGCAGCAGTGACGAGATGAAGTGCATGGAGCACTTCCAGGTGCCATACCAACCACTTAACACATAGTATCTCCTTCAGTCAGACGACATAGCCCTGGGAGATAAGTGTCATGACTACCTTCATCTCAGAGGAAGAAACAGGTTCAGAGTGGTTGGGTCACTTGCCCAAGGTCACAGAGCTCTGCCGGATTTGAGCTGAGATCATATCATCCCAGAACCTGTGTCACATAACACGGATGTTTGTGCCAGCCCTGAATTTATCTTTAGAAAACAGCCAGTTTCCCTTAGACACACCCACCAAGGCCTGCCTGGCTCGGGGCCACTTACATCCTACCAACCGGCAAATTGAGGCTCGAAGGAATCCCTTTTGTCTGGTTCCCAGGAGAGCCTTGTTAGTGGCCTGCAGGGCCCTGATGAGCCCGCCAGCACTGGCATCCAGGCCTCTCTGGCATGGCCTCGGGAATGTGGGCAGGAATGTGGGCACATGCTCCTGCCAGGCAAGCCTCCTGCCTTCCCTGCCTCCATCTTCCCCGGCCTGTCTGGGCTCATGGCCTTTTCTGACATCAGCTGTTTGCTTTTTGCAGCTGGGTCTTTGCCCAGCCCTCCAGGGAGGCAGGACTGAGGGCAGGCTGGGTGCACATTCCCTCAGGCGCCCCTTCCCTTCAGCTGAGCCCTGGTATCAGCTCACCTAACCTCCACCCTCAAGTCCACTCCCCAAGGTCCAGGGCCAGAGGAATGGCCTCATTAGCTCACCTAAACTGGTGGGTTCCCAGCAGGGGCACTTTCAATAAACGCCTGGGACCCACTCAAGACACCAATGTCACAGTTTGCGCTGCAGCCAGGGCAGCCCTGGGGCCTTTTTAAAACTTCCCCAGGTAGCTTTGGCTGTTGCTTTTACCTGGGCTGTTGCTCTTACCTGGGCCGCGCTGTGCACGGAAGCCTCTGATTTCCCCCCGCCGCCTTCCCGGCTAGAGGGGACGAGTCCTCCCTGGGCACACAGCCTTTCGCTGGGCCTGCTCTCGGTCCCACCAACAGCTAGGTCTTACTTGCTCACGGACTCCTAACCCNTGCTGGCTTGTCCACCAGGGCTTTGACCTCAGCCCTCTCCCCTCCCCACCGCCACAGCCCGCTGTTTGCTGGGAACTTCCACGTGGGGTCCGACCATGCCGGGCAGCAGACCCACCTGCCGTTTCCCACTGGATGGCCTCGGGTCCTGTGTGTCTCCTCCCCATCTTTGGACACTGCCCGGTTAACAGTGCTCAGAGCCGCTGTCACCTCCCCGAGTTGCTGCCCCAGCTCACTATGCCTGTCCTGTAGCTGCCTCCTCACTGGCCTGTCCCTGTGGCCTGCCGTCCTCCCCTCGGAGCCAAGTCAGCCTTCCCTACTGTCCGCAGCCTTAGCTCGGCTGATCTGTCTACCTCCAAGCTCATCTTCCACCAAAACGGCCCCATCCTGCCCTGGCTGGTGTGCTCAGTGGTTAGAGTGTCAGCCCATGCACTTCAGGGTCTCAGGTCTGATTCTGTTCAAGGGCACATATGTGGGTTGCAGGTTCGACCCCGGCCCAGATTGGGGCATGTGCGGGAGGAACCAATCGATGTGTGTCTCTTTCACATCAATGTTTCTCTCTCTTTCCCTCCCTCCCCCTTCCTCTCTCTAAAAATCAATGGGAAAAAAACAACCACCTACCCCATCCTCCCATTCCCCCATGCACCGTTCCGGCTGCACCAAAGCTTTTAGTTCCACGTGTGTCCCCTTCTTGGGGAGCCTCCTGACCCACCCACCCTGTACTCCACGAGTCAGATCCCCTCCTCCGGGCTCCCTCAGCTTCCCACTGTCCCGGCCCTCAGTGCACTGTGTAGAAGTAGCCAAACGAAGGTTCCCCCAGGGCAGGAGCAGGGCTCTGCATGCCGGTGCCTTGTCCCAGGCCCAGCCCATACCAGGAACTCAGTTACATACACATCAGCTGAATTAACACGTATCCCGGCAGAAGTCTGTCCTCTGGAACCTCTTGAAATTTCTTCATGGAAACTAGTTCACTACTGTCAGTGGAAAACCTGTTATTTGCCTTAAATACAGGTAGTCTTAAAAATAAGTCCCAGGGCAACAAAGCCTTTGCACTTACAGCTCTCACTGGGAGGGCCCCTCTCTCCTCGCTGGGAGAGACTTTGGCAAGTGTCAGGGTGGGAGCCAGGCTAGTACGTCGATAACCAAGGCTCTGTTGCGTGAGCACAACTAAGAGAACACGTCCCTTGCACCGTGAGGGAAGGAGAGCTGATTCACCTTAAAGGCCTCCCTTCTGGAAACTGCATGAAGCACTCAGAGACACTGGATGTGAATGACTTCACGTTCATCCCTCCCATATTTTCAAACCATTTTTATTTTTGTGTTCCAGTACCTCCTGCCATAAAACTCCAGACAAAGTAAACCACGCCGTACTGGCTGTTGGATACGGAGAAGAAAATGGGAAACCCTACTGGATCGTGAAAAACTCCTGGGGCCCCCAGTGGGGCATGAACGGGTAAGTGGTGCCCGGGACCCTGTGCTGGGCAGGGGCAGAATTACTCAGGTCTGGGAGCCCCAGACGGGCCACATTTAGCTTCCAAGAATGTGGCTAAGTGGTCAGAGCGGCAGCCCACGTACCAGAGGGTTGCGGGTTTGATTTCTGGTCAAGGGGATGTACCTGGGTTGCAGGTTCCATCCCTGGCCAGAGGCAACCAATCCATGTTTCTCTCTCACATGAATGTCTCTCTCTCTAGCTCCCCTGCCCCCC